GTTTCTAGATCTTGTTTGTGAAAAATTGGGTGAGGGTATTAAACCAACTGGTAAAGTAGGCTTCCTCAGCCTGGTGCCCTCCAAATGTTTTAACTGACCATCAGCCATGCTGGCTGGGGCTGATGGGAGTTTCATTTCAAAGCAACTGGAGAAGTCCAAGTTGAGGAAGGCTGCAATAAGGAATAAAGCCTTGCATAGTTCTAACAGCAACTAATACAAGTTTGAAAGAACATACACAGGGTTGAATGACTGTCTATAGAAAATAGACTCCATGGATACAGAAACCATTCAGAAGTCATGGCTATGAAGGATAATTAGAAGCAGATAAAATGGCTGGTCTTTGAGAAAAAGATATGATGAAAATGTTGAGCAGTCTCATACCAACTTAGTATTATATGTTTTGTAAGATCTTGGTGACTTCTGGCTGCACAGTGAAAATGAGGAATGAGAACCGGTTTTCTTTGGGTAATTGGAACCAAATGAAATGAAAGCACAAAGCACAGTGATGAAGTATGAGGTGAATGGATGATGTCCAAAGCAATACAAGTAGCTTAAAAAAATCTTAGTGGAAGGTACACCTGGAATTGGATTATGTTTGGTGCCAGAGAGTCTTTTGGATTTTTTTTCTTAGGAGTCACAGTTGTGTGTCAGTTATGAACAGCAAGACTATGGATATGATGGGGCATGACAGTGTGGCTTGTGCTAGTTTCAGAGAAGACTAGTGGAAAGGTCAGCACCTTTTCTGCTCCAAAATACACCATAAAGGTGGAGAATAGGTGACATTCCTTTCAAAAATATTAATGAAACTTAGCCACTATTGTATATCATAAGCCAGATTTGCATCGCTATTACTTCCTTGAATAATGTATCAAAATGTGCTATTAATGAGATAGTAGTGCCAGTTAAATGAAGCAGCATGTTTCAACCTGTGGCTAAGGGAAAACTTGGCCTTGCTGTGTACATTTCATTTAGCCTTTTCTTAAAGCTCATGTCTTCCATGCTTAATATTCAGAAGCAGCATTTAAAATGGTAAAACGTTGTCCTGCCAAGATCAAGACTTTAAAGTCATCTCTTGCTGTTTCCAAGAAATGAGGTCTTTCAGCACAGAGTACAGTTTCATGCTCATCAGAAGGAAGATAAATTGCTCTGTTTTTCCTCCAAAGGAGATGGTTTCTAAAAATAGAGCATCGTGGAGCTCCTACGAACAAAAGAATTCCTAAGATCCACCTCTGCCATTGTCCCTCTCTCCTTATCGGTACTTTTGCTCCTTTCCCTGAAAAGCTCCATGGTTTTAATACTCTAAATGTTCTTTCTGTGTCACTTTATCAAGATAGTAGTTCTCTAACTTCTTCCCTCCCTGCAACTGAAACTAGCCTTACTCAGTATCCATTTTTCCAAACAAACTGAACTCTGCTGTTTGTCTACAAGATCAGTTTCAGTTTTGTACTCTTACAGAACACTTTGGAATAGGGGTCACTCTTTAAAACTTCACAGATGTTATTTCTGGGTCTGGATTTTCACCAGCCTTTCAACCAAACTTTGGAATCACTCAGTTGAAAATGGTATATAATACACTTAAATTATTTCATAGACCCTCTTTGTAGCAGAGGGCCTTGCCCTGCCCTGCTCTGCCCTTTGTTTCCTTTTAGGAATGATGTGTTTGCTTTTGAGAGCATCCAAATTATAGCATAGTTGTGTCTTGAGTGAAAATGTGATAGTAAAGACAGATGAAGAAAATGTGAGGAAGAAGATCTAACAGGAGTAGCTCAGAAGAGCATTCATTCTGGTTGGTCAAAATGAATCTTTTCTTCTCCCTCTTGGAAAAATATGTTGGTTTTTGCCAAGTGTTTCAATTTAAATGTAGAAACCTCATCCCTAAAAGCCACTGGTTGGCTAATACCTGTGGCATGGTAACAATCCCTCTCTCCAGGTCTCCAAAATAATTCTGCAACTGTTTAAAAATTAAGGGAAAGGGTGAAAATGTAAAACAGCATGTGCAGCTTTTTAAAAATGAAGGGTATGGCTTACCTAAAGTAGGGGAGCAAAGTAGGCAATGGTTCATGATAACTGAACCATGGGCATACATACAAATTAAGTTGTAAAACTGTGCTAAAGGCAGGTTTGTACTGTTAAAATGTTACATCTGTCTTCATCCCAAGATGACACAAGCAGGGTACCCCTCCCCCAGTCAATCAAGTGAGTGAAAAAGCAGGGAATTATAAATCTTGCCTGTAGGTACTATAAAATATAAATCCTACTTTTTTTGTCAATTGTATATTTGTTGAACTGCATATGTAGTAAATGCTTCAGATAACTGGGAATGTTTTGTAATCCTTGACAATGCATTTCCTATCTGCAAAAGCTTTCTCATACAGACATGTACACAGAAACAACCATAAAAATGAAGAGTGCAAGTTCTTTTTCAGTTAAGACTTGATACTTCTGTCCTGCATTTTTCAGCAGCACTGGGTTCCCCTTTCTAAAGCATCTTTTACTTCCCTCCTCTCACTGTAAACTCTTTTCTAGAGCCCACATTAAAATACTTTTAATCAGTAGCAATGTATGCCAGCAACGTACCATCATTCCTGCTGCCTGCATTCTCCGAATTATAGATGTGGTTCAGCAAACTCTCTGCTGAGTTAGAACCAAACTCGGAAAGTCAGTGACATCCATGGAGGGTTTCTCCCCAAGTGTTCAGAGGGAGGAAATTTTTAGATTCCTCCTTCCATGTCCCAATAATTATCACCCTCAACTAACATTATTTACATTTCTTAAACAAAACCTGCATGTTAAATGCAAATATTAGTTTAGCATCATAATACATTTATTTATTATCTGATACTATATTGCATTTCTATCCTCCAACAGTCTTAAGGTGGGTGTGTGGCTCTTTCCCTCCTATTTTATCTTCGCAGGAATTTTAGGCTGGGAAAATGTGATGCACCCAGTGGAGTGAGGATGTGAAACTGGGTCACTGAATTGCTGGAGCCAACATGCGAGCCAGCATTCTAGCACACTAATGGTAGAGCCAACACTACACTGCCCTTACTATACAACGCTGCGTTTTGCTTTGCTCTGTTTTCATCTCTAATTATCTAGGCAGGAATGCCACAGCACACCTGGAATGCTAAGAGAAGGGCACTTTGTTATTTCAAATATCTGCTTTTTGTTTGAGTAATGATGGACTGTTAAATTCTGAGTAGTAGCTGAGAGTTACTAAAGCTTCTGCCACTTGGGACTGTATGGATATGAAATACTTACGCCAACATGGGCTCTTTAATTACAGTTGGCTTTAATACAATTATAGTCAGCTTCTGTAATGGTTCTCCTTTTGCTGTTGCACAAGTAGTTAGGTTTTGGCAAGGTAAAGGCTGTTGCCTCAAGATCAAAGTTTGCCACTGCACATCATTATGAATGTGTAGAATGGGACCACATGGTAATACACCCTGGCAGTGAGCCAGTCCTCAGAGTTATACATGGGCTCTTACCTCTCCTTCCAAAGGGTTTAGTGGCTGTGTTGGCTAGTTACCTGGTGGCTGCCCACTTATGCCGAATAATAGATGATATTGCATGAAATACCAGAGAGTGGGCCTACCTTGAAGTATTCATTGGAAGACCTAGTGAGTCAAGATATGTGAACATAATTTGTGTTTTAGCCTTCATGTGTAATAAGCAGGGTTGTGTATACTCGACTCTGTCCGTTTCTGTTTGTGCACCAAGGAAAGCGAAGTTCTCTGGGTTTATTCCCAGAACAGATTATTGCATTAGTCTCTGGAATGTTATGCTAAACCTAAGCAGTTTCCATGTATCTATTACGCGTATATGTGAGTCTGCCTTGAAGAGACTCTTACAGAGAATTTGAACAGAAACATTTTCAAGGAGTAAGATGAGGACAGGGTTGTTGTAGGGCAGGGGTGGACAAAATGTAGGTTTGCACAATCAAATTTGTTTTTCACTGGCAACCCAGAGAGCCACTAACCAGAGCCAAGTGTAAAATAGTGACTTAGGAAGCTGGACATAGATTTATGGAATGTGCTCAGCCCAGGAATTTTCCATACCAGAACTGGGGCTTGCATATAAATTTTTTCCACAGACGTCTGCTGTTCTCCCCCAAAGCATCTTAGCACTATTTAGATGGAAAAAAGCTTTATGTTGTTGCTTTTATTAAAGCATTGCCTGCTTTACTGCAAATCACAGAGAGATCTATCAGGACTTTCTAATCTACCTCTGCCTGACACTGCTATAGAACCCATTAAATAGGGTTACTGAGGCATTTGTGAAAATCTGGTGTTAGTTTTGTTTCAGTGAGGACCTCTTTGCCAATCTGAAAGTAAATCCAATATGGAATACCAAATAGGTTGTCTTCCTATTGAAACTGTGGTAAAAAAAAAAAAAACTGCTTAAATGTTTCAAGGTAAGCAGTTGTGTTTTATCTCCTCAGAAAGTGGAACTATGGAAAGCTGAGTCTTTCTAACTGGTTTTAAGTAATTTTCTAACTGGAAAAATTACTTAAGACTAATTTAAGTAAGCTCCAGAGAGATAGAAAACACATGCACACACAATAGTTGTTTCTCTGAGAGTACAGGCAGGGTGAATCGCTAATTATAGTGGTCACCCATGATGTTATGTAAGAGTTGTTTCTTTACACAGAAAGCAGGTTTGTATTTCAATAGTATGGCTCAAATAAAACCCAGCACAATCAAATATTTTGATATATGGGAAAGATTCTTGGGCATGCTTTATTTCCAGGCTATCTTTTTTAAATTTTAAACTGCTTAACTGCAAGAATGATTATATATCAAATTGTTGGTGCTCAGGATTAAATAGTGGGGGTTAGAAATCCCATGCTAATCCAAAACCACCCCCAGGAAGGCACACAAGCTGGGTGGGTTTATCTACTTGGAAAGCTTTATAGCTTTAAAATTACACGATGGTAAATTACACTGAAAACCTTGGTATTCTGCACTCAGGCTTGTGATGTTGCTTTTTCTCTCTTGCAGATGAGGCTCATGGTGTTGTCTCTATCACAGCTTGCAGAAAGGAAGACTGGTAAGTGCTTGCATTTCTAGAGGAAAAAATACAGTGTTTGGTATTTTTAATCTCTATGGGCCAGTTCCCAAGGTCTTTCATTTGTACTGGAACATCAAGCTTAGTATAATACCATTCAATATAACATGTGCACCCTCACCCATGTAATCCTTCCGGGAAAATTTGCCTAGCTTCTCTTTGAAGTGGGTCATAGTCAAGTCAGAAATGCTTCCTCCTTGGGTCATTGGCTCAGTTGATAGCACATACCTGAACACTGATCCTAGGCACATTTATTTGGAAATAACCTCTGTGAAATCATTGAGACTTGCTGCAAAGTAAAATGGAACACAGTTGGGGTGTTAGTCCAATCTTTAGACATCAGGCTTTTAAGTAGCCTGATGCTTCAACCGTTCATCATTGGATTTCTGTAGTCTTCATTGACTTATGGGCTTGGCAGCGAATATGTGGGTCCCACCAGCTACTCAAGTATCCTCTCATTTGAGAGAATATTGGCCAAGGAATTGGCAATGACATGATTGCATTGTAAAAGTCATATGAAGTTTATAGATAATTTCAGGCAGGCATCTTATTCTTTCATCCTAAAGAGCAAGCAATCCACATATCATTAAAAGGAATTATCACAAGTGCAGTTGTACAAACCTTAAAAAAAAGGGTTCCAGTGATGATAGAAGGATGAGACAATGGCTAGGAGGCAGGAGAATGTGAAAGCCAAAGTGTAAATCCCATTTAGCACACATTTTTAGAAACATGGTTTGCTCAGGTCATTTCCTTTTTTGAGACAAAGCAGATGTAGGAGCCCCAGTTTGGATCAGGACCATGGCACAGGAGGAATGGAGTCTAGTCCCTTCTTTCCTGCACAGATGCATTTAACTCTTGGAGTGTTACACTGTGGTTTGCGGCCAAGTTTTGTTGGCAGATCACTGATAACTTTTTGGATTTTGGTCCCTGGGGACAGGGTTCAGGGGGCAAAAATGGTGCCAAGACCTCCTGGAGTTGCCTACCCCTGAGCTAGATAGTAAGCAGACTGTGTATTATTGGTAGTATTAGCATTTGTTATCATGAAATACATGTATAATTGGAGCTGTACAAAGATAAATGACATAGGCCTCAGGTGTGTAATTTAACATAATTAAAGGATAAGGAAGAGGAGCAAAAAACAAATTTATGTACTAGAACTTTCTTGTTATATAATGTCCATGCAGGATGGGCAATGAGATGATAGTTCTGCAAGAGCAGGCACCAAAAAGCAGTAAGTCCCAGCTGACTGAACCTGTGGAGCAGGCTCAGTGCCGCAGTGCCTGCTGCTGCAGCTAGGAAGAGTGGTTCCTTGAGGAATGTTGTCAGTAGATCTGTAGATGGAAATGTGCTGGAGCAAACATTTGAAATGTGCTGACACATCAGTTTTCTGTAAAGCAGCAAGGGGCGAGGAGTAGAATGCATGATCCTAACTGTGAATTAGAGCAATAATAGCTTCATATTCCATGATTGTAAATGTCTGCATCTTTTAAAGCAAGCATTCCTTCAGCTAATACATGTTGATTGTTCTTTTCAGCAACAAGACAGAAGACAGTTTAAATTTCTGGAAAGGTTGCTATAAAGCAGATTCAAGGGGAACCACAGATCAAAGGAGCCCAACTCTCTTGTGGGATTGCTCTGCACGGGAGACAATGGGTAGTGTCTCCAAAGAAGAAAGCACTTTAGAAAGACTCCCTGGTCTGAAGGTTTCAATGAGCACTAAGGAAGCAGCACAGAGAAATCCTTCTTACCCAAAGGAGCCCACTTCTGCAATGGAACCTAACATAAAAACTGTGCAAATGAATACTGATGAACTAGAAGAGGAGCCTGAGCACTTAGACCCTGGCAGAGCAGCAGGAGAAGCTTCTCCGCCACTTGCTGGAGCACAGACTGTTGGTGGGGATGAAAGATACCATAGCAATGAACCAAAGCAACTAGAAGCCTTCAGCAAAGAGCACTTAGACAAAAGGCAAACATTGGATAGGAAGGGCTTTCAGAGGTTTGACTGGCTTTCTGAGCACAATGAAGGGCTTGGGCCTCCCTATGGAAACATAAAGAAGCCAGCTGATGTAGCAACAAACCTGTCTCTTAGGGGACAGTCTGCACGAGAAGCTTCTTTGTTGGCTCTGCCAGTATTTAGAAAAATGCTAAATCCTCACTTAAGTCAAGTAAAGACTGCTGAGAGTACACTGCCTCTCAGGAAGGGAGAGACAGTGGACTCTGATCTAGGCGAAGTAAGTTCTGTTAATACAGCTGAGTGGACCTCACAGAAAGCAGGGCTTCAGACTGTGACAGACCTTGCTGCTCACAAACATGCTTGGGCTGTGAGTGCCAGGGACACTACAGAACGTGTTCCTCTGAGGTCTGTGGAATCACCTTCCTGTGGCACCTATGAAGAAACGAGTCCTTACATGTGCAATGTCCTGCTGGATGAGCATGGAAAAGAGGATGCCGGCCAGGAAGAGGACCCAACTGTGTACACATGCATAGAATGCAGCATCTATTTTAGAATGAAGGAACACTTGATGGATCACATGCTTCAACATAACAGGGGACTAGGTTTCGATCAAAGCAGAGAGAGTAGTGCAGGTCAGTGTCAGTTGACCTGTAATGAGTGTGGATGGGCTTTTGGAGATATTGGTTCTCTAGAACAGCACAGAAGACTCCACCAGGAATCCAGAGAAAAAATAATTGAGGAAATTCAGAAGCTCAATGAATTCCCAGATGAAGGTCGTGATGCCAGGCTACAGTGCCCAAAATGTGTTTTTGGAACCAACTCCTCTAAGGTGTTTGTTCAGCATGCAAAGATGCATGTCAGGGAGAGGAAAGATCAAGGCTTGAAGAAGTTAAACTTGTTTGGCAGTCCTGGTGCTAGTGAGCCACGTGACAGCTCCATGCACAACATATCTAGGCACTTCCGACCAAATGAGCATGTACCACAAGTGGCGCATGCGCACAGTAGTAATAAAAGTCTCAGCACCTGCACACTTTGCAGCTTCCCTGCCCCAAATGAAAATATTTTAAAAGAACACATGAAATATGCTCATTCCCATCCATCCTGGAACGTGGAGACTTTTGAAGCAGATATGAACCAGCCTGGAACTAGTAGGGATGCCTACAGCCCTGGCAGGACAGGCCGGCACTCAGAAAGTGATTATTTGAGCAAAGCAGACAAACTCTTTCCTCAGCCCCACTGTGAAACCGTGCCTCAGTATGATTCTCTCCCAGGCTTCACAGTAGACCACCAGAGACTTAGTAAAAGCAATGGCACTAATAAAAAAGATATCCCCATGCCTGGATTTCGGGCTAGGAAAAGAGCTCCCTACAGCTCTTCACATAAGGTCTTGGGGATGTCCCCTCTTACCTCAGCAAAAGAATATTCTCCATATGCCCTGAAACAAATGAAGCATAAAAGCACAGCACAGCTACTTGAAGCTGAGAGAGAGAATGCCAAAAGCCATCCGGGTGGGCTAGAGGAACTTCAGCACAAATGGTTACCTTCAAGTGATATTAGGAGTATGGAGGAAGAATTCCCTGTAGCAACTGAAATAGAATTAGCAGAGAATAGATACTTCAGGCCTTTTGTTCTTCCTCAGTCTGCTTTGGACCTCAAAAGGGCTTTCAGGGGCATCTTGAAGGCAACAGATTATTCAATTGCATCAGCAGGACAGCAACATCAGTTACGTCAGATGGTTCCTATTGTTCTTGTTGAGGAGATTAATCTGTATCCCAGAAAGATGAAGCGACCCAAGCTGAAGATTCTCAAGAAAAAGTCATCACCTCTCTCCCGAGAATTGGGAACGGATGAGTCCCTTCCTTTAGGTGTATTCCTGTTAGATTCCTCTCTAGAAGGATCTCTAGAGTTGGATGATCTTCTGGATGGAGATTCACCAATGCTGAAGAACGAGGAGAGAAAATGCCCATACTGTCCTGACAGGTTCCACAATGGGATTGGCCTAGCCAATCACGTGCGGGGCCACCTGAACAGGGTGGGTGTGAGCTACAATGTCCGTCACTTCATCTCTGCAGAAGAAGTGAAAGCTATTGAGCAAAAATTTTCCTTCCAAAAGAAGAAGAAAAAAGGTAGTATGTATTCAATTTATATTTTTTCATTTTTTCTAATATTTTTCATTCCCTTGAAGATGGGTATGTATGTTCGCTCTTTATCTCTCAAAAATAGGTGTTACCGCATTCTAGCGGCATCTAATTGTCACGATGTTATATGTTTAATCATACAATCTAGTGGCAGGGAATGTTTTCTGGAGTATATTGCCTGTACTTCATGATTTTTTTTATGACACTGGTTATTCTCTTTTTCTACAGTTGCAAACTTTGATCCAAGTACTTTCAGTTTAATGAGATGTGAATTCTGTGGGGCTGGCTTTGACACACGTGCAGGGTTGTCCAGCCATGCCAGGGCCCACCTGAGGGATTTTGGTATCACCAACTGGGAGCTTACCATCTCACCAATTAACATCTTGAAACAGCTACTAGCCAATTCATCAGAACACCCTATGCTTCAGTCTGCACTAGGAACAGATCCTTCATCTCCAAATCAAGAGAGAGAGATGCTTGGGTTTAGGCCTGGCAAAAGCACGACTCCCATATCTGAATGCAGCATTTCACAATCACCTTTCTCCCCATTCCCTCTTTCTTGGGGAGATGAGCCCATGCAGTCCTTCAGAGATGGTAAGCAGTTTTTAAACTTTATGTGTGTCCTGGAAACAGTGCTAATATAGGTTAGCATTCTGCCCCCTTTATGCTCTCTTAATGTAACCCTTACAGGACAGCATGAAGAAAATTATAATACTTCAATTATACACTGAAGTGATAAGCAGAGGTGCAAGGGTGTTTTGTAAATGCAGGATCAGACAGCTTGTAGAAATCCACTGAGAGAGAGATGGAAACTGGAATGTACCAGTGGGAAGATCCGTTCTTCTGATGTGTCATGATTTCCAGCTTCTCTCTCCTTCCCCAACCCCATACATCTATCTTTTCCAGGCAGTGTTTACTGAGAGGTGCTAGAGTTCAAGCCTTTCTGGAAGTCATAAACTGACTCAATTCCTGGCTCAGTCTAGTTCTGCTGAAGGAAAGGATCTTGAAGTGAAAAGGGAAAAGGTCTTTTTTTAATGTGAGAGTGTGAAGCAAAGTTTAAAAAGCTAAAAGTCGAGAAAGAAAATACTGGATAGAAATGGAAACAGAAGAATAAAGTGGAAAGATGTAGTCCAAGAAGAAAGTATACAAAAACAAAGAGAGAGAGAAAGTATGTCATGAGGAGAAGGAATAATTCTGTGGAAAACAGAAGTGGGAACTTTTCCCTATATTTAGCAACAAATACTGGACAGTGGTTTCTTTGAAAACAGATATTTAGGGTAGATAGGAAGCTTTGGACAGGGAAGTATCCTGATTACCCTGTTTAGTCCAGCCAAAACTATATTTAGTGGACATTCCTGCAATTGACAGCTGTCAAAGGCAAGTGTTAGTGAAAGGAGAACAAGGCATACTTTCCACTATCCTGAGAGCACTGGGATTATGGTGTGTGTGTGGGGGGGGGGGTGCATAGACTGCTCAAAGCAAGGATCTTGCTTTGAAGATCACTTGAAGGTTTGCTTTGATTTGATAACTCACCCATTGACACCTGTCCTATCAAAACTAAGTGGAAGCAATTGATCTGAAAAGAGACAAGGTACAGCTACGAAGTTTCTTGGGATACCCATGGGAGGGGCAAGGGGAGAGGACAATGTGGATAGTTTCTTGGGTGTATCATGGTTTGTTTAGGCAAGAACCAAATCACTGTAGCTTATTGCCAGGGTGGTTTGGCATGTGAATTTACCCACAGAGACATACTGTTCTAAGGAACAGATGCATTTCTGCATGTCTACCTAAGGAGAAACTGAATATGGCTATACCTACTTGTAGCATACAGTTCTGATCCCATACAGGGCATTTTTTTTTGCCTGTTCATACATTGAAGTATACTGCTCCACTTCACTGCTGTCAGATTGCTTGCTTGTGAGCAATTATTATGCACATTTTATAGCTAATATAAAGTATCATATTTAAATGTAGAGCTTTTCATTATGTACACTGAAATAGGTACAAGACAAAATAATCTAATGTATGGTATAGTCAAACACATGGAACATTTCTTTTTGACATGTGAGAGCCATTTTGCTAAAAATCTAATTAGTTGCATCAGGGTATGTTCGACCCTATATGTGAACTGCATATTCAGTTTATTTAATTTTTTCAACATTACAAAGCATCTGGGTCTTTAGGAGTCCACCACAGCTTATACAGTGGATGGTGTTACATATACCCTTTTCAGTGGCAAAGTAAACAGACATAAACACAAGAATGCAGAAGTACTTCTGTAGAGGGTGAATGCTTTCTTTCTTTCTCTTGCAGTAGAAAAAAGCCCATTTTTTAATGCTGCCAGTTATTTTGTTTATGTAACTTACTATAGTCTGCAGAGGAAGGTTCAGGAGTGAATTGCTATTCAGTGTCTTGATGCTGTGAACAAGGTGATGTGAATCTCTCTGTCCGTGAAATGTCCTGAAGCAAGTAGAAGGAATGATTAAATGCCTGAGTCATACACAAAGTTGCAAGCACTGCTAGTTGTGAAATGCAGCAACATTATAGAAATGGCTCAGAAAACGGTTTGTGGAACATGATGCTTCACCACTACTGAAGTTAAACAATGTTGAGCCTGTGAGATGCCCTCATGGTGTGAAAACCTGGTGCCTGTGGTCATCCTGGATATGCGTAGAAGGCCTGGTACAACACAGCCAAATGGTATCAGCTGCTACCACCAACAGTAAAACAGATCTGAGTTCCCTGGGAAGCACAGTTAGGTTACAGGTTTTGCTTAGCACGTTGTGTGTAACATGGCTGTTAAATCAGCGTTAGCATGACCAGTAACCTGCTGTGCCCTTGTAAGCCTTCTCCTTTTGCAGTGGAGTATATATCATTGGATTCTTCCGGCAATTTTAGTCTAGTTAATATGCTACACAGTGCTAATTTCTGGGCCAGAAATGGTTCTCAAGGATTCCTCACTATTTGGCAGTTCAGGTGATTTACCCATCAGTAGGTTTGTTAAGTGGAGCTGTTGGGCCTCACAATGCCAGCATACAGCGGGTAGCAAGTAGTATCTCTTCTGTTTTTGACAGAGAGCTACAATTGATTGTAAAATGGAGGTTTCCTCGTCTTAGACCAGAATAAGGTCTAGGTGAGTGGGTTGTTCTGGGCACCATAAGCTGACCATAACATAAGCCCTTTGGAGGAAGAGTGGAGTAGAAGTACATTAATTCATTTGCGAGATGACCAGCAAGAAATATATGAATCCACTAAGTGCAAGATGCCCAAGTGGTCTCTTTTCTACTGCTGTACTGAAATTACTGACGAAAAAGCGATATCCAGAGATGATGCTGTCATCCACATTCAGAACTGTGAAAAATCTGCAGGTGTCTTTGCAAAGTGAAGACTCCATGTGGGTAGAAGGTCTGCATAAGCATGTGTAGTACCATAAGCATATGGTGTCATCAATATGCACAGCCTTATTAGTGCTCTTGATAGCATGCACCTGTCCATTGATAAAACTGTTTAAGCTGTTCCAACTGTTAAACTGTTTTGCCCTTGCAGAATAGTAAATAACTGTAGGGGTTGTTCTTGTTTTTATTAAGCTTCCATGGGGAAATCTGTGCTAGCAAATTCTGCAAGTTAACTTTGCATGATAAAGTTACTTTATTTGTTCCAAATCTCACACCACTCAGCTTAATTGGATGAACCCAGTTTATACTGGTAAAGATCTTGCAAAATATAAAATATGAAGCATGTTGCTATTTTTAGGTATTGATTGGAAAGTGACTGGAGTTGGGTAGTCTTTGCAACAATTAGCATTTAAGTATTTATATATCGTTATATGTAATCTATAGATTCTCACATGTTCCAAGGTGCTCTGTAAATAGATCTCTATAGATCTGAATTTCAACCCTCAGCTTCTTTTTCCTGGTGCAGAAAACTGAAGACAGGAGATGGGCAGAGCAGTCAGTGTTGTGCCCAGTCTGGTAGCTACCATTCTCCATCCCCAAGAGGAGAGCATGAGGTTTCAGGCAATGTAGTGCAGCAGTGAGAAAGGCTTTATGCTGATTCTTACGAAAGGAGACAACAGTGCAAGTTCTTCATTTTTATTTATTTATTTAAGATATTTGTATGCTGTCCTTTGCAAGAGCCTCAGGATGTCTTTACACAAATAAAATTCCAAAGTACATAAACAATATAATATAAATAAATAGACAACCCACTCTGGCTGCAAATTAAAATGCAGTAATAAAAATTCAATATTAAAACTTATTAAAATATTGATTAAATAAAAAGGTCTTAACCTGGTGCCGAAAACATATAATGACGGCGTCAGGCGGACCTCTCTGGGGAGCGCATTCCATAGATGGGGCGCCACCACAGAGAAGGCCCTCCTTCGGGTACTCTGTCTCCTAATGTCTTTCACAGAGGGTTCCTGGAGGAGGGCTTCTGCTGCCAATCTCAGGGGGCAGGAGGGCAAATAGGGAAGAAGGCATTCCTTTAGGTATCCTGGTCCCAAGCCGTTTAGGGCTTTATAGGTAATAACCAGCACCTTGAATTGAGCCCGGACTTCGATGGGAAGTCAGTGGAGCTGATAGAGGACTGGGGTTATATGAGAATAACGTCCAGTCCCCGACAGCATCCTGGCAGCTCTGTTTTGAACCATCTGAAGTATCCGGACTGTCTTCAAGGGCAGCCCCACATAAAACGCATTACAGAAATCCAACCAGGAAGTAACCATTGCGTGTGTTACTGTTGCTAGGCAATCTTCTTCCAGGAAGGGATGCAGCTGATGGATTAGCCGAAGCTGAAGGAAAGCGCTCCTCGCCACCGCTGTCACTTGAGCTTCCAAGGACAGCTCCGGGTCAAGGAACACTCCCAAGCTGCGGACCCTGTCCTTTAGAGGGAGTGCAACCCCGTCCAGGGCAAGGCCCAAGTCACCTACCCAGGAGCTTGAATCACCCACCAACAGAACCTCCATCTTATCTGGATTGAGTTTCAGTTTATTGGCCCTCATCCAGCCCATTACCTCGGCCAGGCACCGGTTCAGTACAGCCAGTGCCTCACCTGGATTAGTTGAGAGGAAGAGTTGGGTGTCATCAGCATACTGATGACTCTGCAGCCCAAACCTCCTGATGACCTCTCCCAGTGGTTTCATGTAGATATTAAATAGCAAGGGGGACAAAATGGAACCCTGCGGTACTCCATGGCAAAGTTGCACCACCTTCTGGAATCAGCTGTCAAGGTAGGAGCAGAACCACTGCCAAGCAGTGCCTCCTCCTCCCAATCCTGCCAGCCTATCCAGAAGGATACCGTGGTCAATGGTATCAAAAGCCACTGAAAGGTCCAGGAGAACCAACAGGGACACACTCCCCTGTCTCCCTCCCTACACAGGTCATCATACAGGGTGACCAAGGCAGATTCAGTACCTTACCCAGGTCTGAAGCCAGACTGAAATGGGTCCAGACAATCAGTTACATCCAAGAGTACTTGGAGTTGTCCCGCCACCACCCGCTCCTTCACCTTGCCCAAAAACGGGATGTTGGCCACCGGTGTATAATTGGCGGCCATCTCTGGATCCAGAGACACCTTCTTTAGGACAGGCCTGA